TGGCCATGAGAGATGCCCATCACAAGATGTGGAACAGAAGGAATGTATACCTAGCTCTATGTTTACAGTTACTCTCCTGGGAAAGGCTTTAGAAAACCATGTCAGCAAGTTCAGAAGATGAGTTTTGGGCAACAGAATCTTTGTCCAATCTCTGTCCTCAGGGTTGTGAGGGTCCTTGGGTTTTGAGGCTCTACCTCGTCAGGGTTGGTGGAGCCCTATACTCAGGGTTAGGAGCTCTATCCTTGAAGTTTGTGAGTCTCCATCCTTGGGTTTTGGAGATCTTCATCTGCAGGGTTGGGAGATCTCCTTCCTTGTGGTTGGGGGAATTCCCAGCCTTGGGGTTAGGTGGATTCTTCCTTGTGTTTTTTGCAGCTCCATCCCTGAGGCTTGAGCATCTTCACCTTCAGAGTTGGGAGTGTATCTCCATTTTTGGGATATGGGGATCTTCCTTGGCTTTGGAGGAAAATCTTCATCCTTGGGGCTGGCAGATACATCTGGGGCTGGCAGACCTCCATCCTCAAAGGTTCTCCACCTTCAGGTTTGGGTTTGGACACCTGTGTCTGTCCATGGAGGGAGGACCTCTGTCCTCCATCCTGGATGAAACCACAACCCACAACCTCCTCCACACCGCGAGGCCCACGTTGCTCAGGGAGTGCCCTTGGACAGGCTCATACCCTTGGACAGCTGCAGATTTTGGATGATGGGCACCTCTGTGAGCAAAGCAGCTTCCCAACCTTCCCGCCAGCTCAGCAAATATGACCTTAATTGATTTAAAAGCTTCAGAGAGAGCACGTTGGGGGGTGTGTTTGCTGTTGAATTGGGCATTTCCAGGAGACACAGCCAATAATTCCCTTGGTGTGCTCTGTGTAGGTCCTGGCTGGCTGGGAGCACCATGGAAAAGCTGGAATAACAACCATGTAGAAGGCAATGAAGTAGGTACAAAAGCTAAAATTACTATTCATCGCTAATACGTTGCATGGCACTAATTAATTTTTAAACAGCCTCGCTGGGGACCTCATTGCTAAAACATGATGTTTTCTTCTCCGGAACTATAACTGTTAACTCCAAACAAAGCAGAAGAAAGTCAGGAAGGATGAGGAACCGCAGGTCCATTAGGCTGCATCTGAGTTGCCTCCTCTGATGGCCACTGTGCCTGGGGGGATGCTCTGTTACACCCCTCTGAAGGGATTTTTTTGGGCTGGGGAGTCAAATCCAGCTTCCCAGCAGTGAAAAAGTCTTGTCTGAGCTGCAAGCATGCTGGAAGGAAAGGGAGAACTATTTTTGATTCTGCTCTCACCTGTCTCACTTTACCCAAGCGTGGCTTTCCCTGAATATTTTTAACTCTGTTTTATTACTGGTCTCACAAGCCTCAAACTGGGGGATTGCTGTCAGTGCACTCACTGACATGAAAGTTATTTAATTCAGTCATTGTGAGTGTTGAGAAGAGACTTTCCTCAACCTTTTCATTGCTGTTGACATCTAGATCAACACCCAAATTTATTTATTTGACATTTCCCATTTCCAATTAATCTGTGAAGTGCTCCCCTTAAAATGGTCTAAGCTGGTAATGCTTTATCTTCCATTTAATGTTTAATTATTCTTTAATTATTTGGGCACTTTTCTCATCACCACTTTGAGTCCACCTATTAATTCCTTTTAAGTTTCATCATCTCCAAAAGAAGGGAAATTCAGCAAGCTTTTGCTAAGTTTATTTTGAAAAATCTATCAAGTTCAGCAGTTCTACTTACACTTCTTTATTTTAAAATTAGGAAATATGATGGCTTGGGGGCGAATCTTTTTTCACGTTCTCTGGGCCTGATGGTACCAGGATCCAGCCTGAGCCAGGCTGTGTGGAAAATGACAATTACACTATTGAAATAGTGGATTTTTTTGCTGTTGGAGGGAGCTTTTGCTGTGTGCCAGTAGCAGCCCTGGGGTCACGGAGGGCTGGGGCTGAGGGGAGCTCACGGCCCCCCAGACGCGGCGATTTCTGTTTCCATATGGAAAAGGGATGTGGCATCTGGTTTCACTCCCAGCAGCTGGCAGCTTGAAGCCTGTGTTTTGCATGGTGTGGAGTAAAGAGAAAATAAAGTGTCGAATTGTTTGGCATTATCAAGGATTTCTGCTCCCCAGGACTCCTGCATAAAGAGATGGAAATTTTAGCTGCTGGAGCCAAGAAACACACAGAAGTATATGAATTTATTACATTTTATCTCATTCCCTCGCAAACAGCGCTGGAAATGTCAAAAGATCATCTATTGTTTCATCGTTTAGAAAGAATTTTTGTTTTCTAGTTGTAATTTCCTTGATGCCTGGCTGTGGGGAAGGAAGAGAAATTGGAGCAGGAGCTGGCAGGGCTGCAGCAGGTTGAACATGCAGGTTTGTCTGGCCATGGAGCTACATGCATTTAAATTTCTCACATCCCAGGTTTTTAATTTAACAAATGTAATTAAGGCTGGGGTAGGTACTCGGATTATTCATTTACTCCAGATGGAAAAAAAAATTAAATTGAATGCAAATTCCGTAATCAGACATGAAGTTGAGGATGTCGGACGTGATGGGGAAGTGTCAGCACATTAATCGGACCGCTTTCCCTAAACAGCACCCAAATCTAAGAGCCAGGGATTATTTGAATAATTGAGGTGGCATTTGATAAGATATCTGATTGCTGATATCTCCTTAAGACGGAGCCCTAATTGTAATTCTCCATCAAGAAGGATTAATCTGCGCAACAGAATGCACTGGGAATAGTGTGGTGTCAGACTCCCTCCCCTGAGTTTTGGTATTTTATCAAGGGCTGCCATGCCCAGGGAAGGTGCCAAAGTGATTTATCGCTTCTCCTGTTGCTTTATCCATGTGCCAGGAGGTCGTCAGGTAGCACAGTTTGGCACTGGGGATCTGAGCATCCGAGGCTGCCTGAGCCCCACGGCCCCAGAGTTGGGGCTGTGTTTTGGAGGTGCCTCCCATGCCTGGAGAAGGATGCCTCGTTGCATCTTAATGTCCCTTCTTCAGGTCTTCAGGGCACAGTTAGACCTTTTTTTCTCTGGGAAAAGGAGGCAAAATAGAGATAAAATGGAGATAAATTGTCCCATTTGGGTCTTCTTCAGCAGAAGACCATGTTGGAGGGCCATGACCCCATCCACAACCCCACTCTTCTGATGCTCTTGGAAAACATTTGGGAATTGATGGACACTGACTCCCAACTCAGTCTTGGCTGGGGTGGAGTTTAGGAACGGTCCCCCCAATTTAGTGCTTCTGCTGAGACTCTGCAAACCACTGTGCTGCTCACTGGGTCCCCTTTCCCCTCCCCTTCTCCTCCTGGAGAAGAGAATTAGAGGCATGGGAGGCAAAGATCATCATCAAAACGATGGGTTGAGATAAGAACAATTTACTGGAAACTGGAATGAGAAAACAAACAGTAACAGCAACAATATTAATAACAAAAGGGTACAAAAACAGAGTGATTCACATACAAAAGTGCTCACCTTAAGCCAGAGCTGCTCTGGCTGGGAAGAGAGTCCCTTTCCTGCCCTTCCCCCCAAAAATGATGTGAAGTGGTATAGAATAACCAGGTCCTGGCCATGCCCCCTCCCAGCCTCTGCAGAAATTAACCCTCGCCTGGCTGCAACCAGGACAGGTAGCAAGAGGAATTTCCACTCAGTCTGGCAACAGACACTTGGCCAAAATCATAGAAATCTTTTCTTGTGGAGTCTGTTTTGCTGCCAGCACCATTGGCTTCTCTTAAAAACAGGAATGGAAGGCTGGGGAGGGAGGGATGGACTTTCCTCCTTGAATCCCACCCCCTGAGTGAGATTAGAAAGGATTTAAATTGCTGAAATGACAATTAAAAAAAAATTGATATACTCATGCTGAAGATCCAGTATTGTAAACAAATAATCATCACGGTCTTTCCTTCTCCCTTCCTCTATCTAGCAGCAAATGAAAAAAAGGAAAGGGAAAAAGATGAAAGAGGGAAAAGGGATAAAGCTTGACAGAGTTTGCTGGTGGTTTTTTTTGGTCTTTTTGAGAGCTTGAATATTTTGAAACAAACTGTAAATGGAAATTCTTCCCCGTGAGGGCGATGAGGCCCTGGTACAGGCTGGAAGTGTCCAAGGCCAGGTTGGACAGGGATTTAGAACAAACTGAGATAGTGGAAGGTGTCCCTGCCTGGGGCAGGGAGCTGGAACAAGATGAGTTTTAGGGTCCCTTCCAAGCCAAACCATTGTGGGATTCCCTGATTCTATGTAATAAAAACAAAAAGGGTGTTGGGAAGAAAATAATCTTTAACTCTTCTGCAGTCAGTGCTTTGCCCAGCAGTGATGAGCTTATATTAAATTTTTCCTGCCTCTAAAGCAAATCGAAATGCAGGCATTTTTAATTTTTTCTCTATTTTCCTACAATCCCACCTCCTCCTGTGGCCATATGCCAATGGCCACTCCTGATAGATTGGGTGCACTAAGTGATTTTAGCCAGGCTCTAGACAGTGCATTCACAACCAGAAAGGTGTTATATCCCCTCCAAACCCCACCAAAAAAACCCCACTAATCCCCCCAACCAAACAAAAAAAATCCCAATTTAAATCACTTGAGATAAGTTGGATGTTATCTTAAGGTTGCAAATTGCTTGTTTGCTTCTCCAGCTGGAGCTGTTAATTCAGAACAATTAACACACCGTTTAAAACCCAGACAAAGCCTATGGAGGCAGTCCTTGGGAAAAGAGTGCTTGGGATGGAGTTCCTCAATGTAAAATCAAAGGATAACTCCAGTTTGTCTTTCTCTTTAAATCCTGGCAGGTGGTGTGGGAAATGACACAAATTCCAGAGAGTTTAGTCCCCCAAAACCCCTGCAGGATGTTAGGTTGGTGCTTAGAGCAAGAGCCAGCTGGGTCTCTGGACCCAAAAAGAAATGAAGTGTTGACAATCATTGTTAGGATGAATTTACCACTGAGAGTGGTTTCAGCCTCCTGCTCATCCTTCAAATATTTCTTCTTGATGAAGAAATAATGAATCCTAGAGTGAATCCTAAAATAATGCCTGAATTTTTTTGCTGGCCCCTTTGCAATGCCATGAAACACCTCCCTGGCTCCATCCTTTTGGCCTTTTCCAGCATCACTTTGGGCAGCCGCCATTTATTTTCTCAGGTTCCGTTTTGATTTTTGATGCAGGTGGAGAACAAAAGCCTAAATCTGGAAAGAAACCCCGAAATACAGCAGTTCCACCTTCTTAAAATACTGAAGTGAGCTCAACCTGCTTAAAATATCTCTGGGTCAAGGAGCAAGGAGGTGAGCTCATTGCTTTTCCTCAAGGACATAAACCACTGTTAGATTTTTATGGGATGCTGTAGGAAATACTGCAGCAGTTGCTGCATTTTTTGCAGCCCAGTGGTGGCTTATGGGATGATCCATCCTTCCTTCCACCACGTGTCCATGTGTCTTTTCACCATGTGTGTTCATCCATGCATCTGTGCATCCCTGCATCCCTGAATCCACGCGTCCTTGCATCCGTCCATCCCTCATTTTTGGTCTTGTGCATCTGACCAGAACTGCACATGAATTTCATTGAGGGCACCCAAGGATTTTTTATTTTTTATTTTTTTTTCACTTGAAAAAAATCCCACAAATCCAAATGTTTCCCTCAGAAACTTTACAGGAATTGGCATGGCTGAAGGTGCAGCAGCTTTCAGCATCCCCGACAAATGATGGGCAAAGAAGCTCTTCCATCTCAAAGTTGGCACTAAGATTTTGGGGTTGGGGACCCCTGTAACGTGAGCCCCCCAAAACCTTCATCCCCCTGAGCTGTGAAAGCCAAGCAGGTCATCTTTAAAAGCTTTTTCTGCAAACCCTTTCCTGTTACTCCCCCATCCGAGGATGGATGTAGGCAGCATCGGCAAATCTGAATAACTAATCAGAGTCCTCATTAACCCCCCACTGAGATGCTCAAACATTCACTTTGCTGTTTGTGAAGCAGGGAAAGGAAGAAAAAAAAGGAAAAAAGGGGAAAAAAAACCTCACAAGCCACCCTGCATTAAAATTGATGTGTTATTAATCCCACTGTTCCAGACCTCATGGGTACCGAATTTTCCTCCGTCTCGCCCGAGGCCGAACAGTGTGGTGCTGCTTCTGCAGGGCACTTTGCCTTTCCATTATTTATCAGCACAGTGGAGAGAGGCTGCTTTTGTTCCCTGGGTCCAGATGTGTTCACATGCACAAGTCTGGGGTGGGGATGTCCAGTATTTCTCCACATGCCCCGTTTGGATGAATGTGAGTCCCCCACAGCAGGGCTCTGCCAACAGACGTGTCTCTCTCCCAGTTGTGTTTTTCCTCGAAGTAGCTTTGCTTTTGCAGAAATACAAAAATATTTGGGTGTATGGGCATGTCTCTAATCTTTCTCTGAGAAAGGGTGAGGTTTGTGCTTCGCCAGTTTAACTTCTGAAATGAAAACACCATATTTATTCTTCTTTTTCCCTTGGAGCATCCCCAGCCCGTATCCACAGGCTGGAGGTGCTGCAGAAGTTGCACTGTAGGGGGAAAAGCCCAACACACCAAAGGTTCTTATCACAAAAGTCCTCCTGGCAGATGGCTGCAGGTGTTGTCAAGGTATTTAGAGAGTCACAATCATCCCTTGGAGCTCCTTAAAGGGTTAACTGAAACTTGAGCTTTGATTTCTGCATTTCTACTGTTTTTCACAGGTGCAGGGTTCCTTTGCTTGTCTCCTTGGGTGTGGAGTTTGGGGCCAGCAGAGCTTGCTGCTGGGGTTAGTTTGTGGTATAAAAAGAATTCAAAAAACCCCAGCATTGGTGGGGATTTCACCATTTAAGGTTTCCCCCCTAATCAGAGGAGCTGGCATTAAGTTTATTAAAACATGATAATCACAATTAAATATCATTGATGTGATGAGGTTGGGAGCACCATGGCCTGCTCACATTGAAAAGGAACAAAGTGACATGCCTGGAAAAGCCTTCTTGCTTTAAAATCCCACACTTTGCAAAAATCCTGAATTTTGTTTTGCTGAATGTCAGCTTTATTAGCATTCCCTTCCACTTCATTAAAACTTGTTCAAGGGATGCCCTTGGCTTTTTGCAGCTGGGCTAGAGGCTGCTGTCCCAGGATAACTGGGCTCCCATCTCTGCTCCTGGATGCTATTCAGGTCAGCCAGATCAGGATTTAGGGCATTTGTGGGGATTGATGACTTGTCAGAAATGGTGTCTCATTGATGACCCTGGGGCAGCTGCTGGATACAGCCATGGGACAGCCTGGATCTTCTGCCTTGCATTGCCTGTGGTGGAGCATCTTGAAGGAGGCATCTCCTCCACTCCCTTTCGCATCGGGAGGACTTCAAAGGCCTTTGCTAAACTTCAAAGGATGCCTTTTGAAGTTGTTAAAAGTGCTCAAAAAGACTCCTCTCTCTCTCTCTCTCTCTGCAAGGGTGTTCAGGGAGGTGTCCCTGGTGGGGTTGGCTCCTTGTGTTCCTCGTGATGGGGACAAAAACGGCACCATTTCTGCTAAAGTTGCACAATGTTTGTGTCCTAAATGCGTGCAGCACCCAAGACCTCAGGTCTGACCCCCTCCAAGGAGGGAAATCAGCCTGACAGAGCCTTATTTCTGCTCCTTTTCCTCCAGCCCTCATGCTTTGTTCACACAGCAAGCCCAGATGACAGAAGTTTTTCCTGTGGGATAGAAAGAAGTCTTTATAGGGATGAAGGGCTGGTGCAGAACATGAGCTTTTCCTTCACCATGTCAGGACAAATCCAATGAAAATCAAGTCTGGGTTTGCCATATGTGTTTGGCATGTTCCTCCAAGGCATCAGCATTGCTTCTTTACCATAAATAACCTGAATATTTCACCTGCTGTTGAAATACTTCCTCTGTGGTGGGAGAGTTTTGGACTCAGGCCCTTCTGAGCAGATCTCTGCACATCTCAGCAGGACCTACACCTGCCTGAGAAGTCAAGAGGCACCTTGACCTTTTGTCTCACCAAATTTTCCCTGTCTGGAGGTTTCTGGCGTGTTTTGCTCTGAAATGACCCCGTTGTTTCCATATCTCTTGCTGGGCAATGACCTCAGGCCAGGTTTCCAGAAATGGCCCTTCCCCACACTCTGGACCCGTGTTCCTGGCTGAGATGATGGATGCCTGCTGTGAAGGCACAAAACCTCACGTGTTGATATGGCCAGGGGTTTGGGGTGGAATTAAAACCAGGGGGAAAAGTTCTCATGGATCTCCTCTCTGGGCTCAGCACACCAGACATGGCTCTGCTGGAGATGTAAAGCAGAGCTGCACCCCTGGGGTGGGTTTGGGGCATCTGAGGAGCTCTCTGGAGTGTTGGTAGGTATCTCAGGTGTGTTTTGGGTGTGTGAGGAGCTCTCTGGAGGAGCTGTGAGTGTTGGTAGGTATCTCAGGTGTGTTTTGGGTGTTTGAGGAGCTCTCTGGAGGTGCTGTGAGTGTTGGTAGGTATCTCAGGTGTGTTTTGGGTGTTTGAGGAGCTCTCTGGAGGTGCTGTGAGTGTTGGTAGGTATATCAGGTGTGTTTTGGGTGTCTGGAGGAACTGTGAGTGTTGGTAGATATCTCAGGTGTGTTTTGGGTGTCTGAGGAGCTCTCTGGAGGTGCTGTGAGTGTTGGTAGGTATCTCAGGTGTGTTCTGGGGGTCTGAGGAGCTCCCTGAAGATGGTGTGTGCCATGCTGGGTGTATGGCACATGTGACAGATTTGAGGAGCTGCAGCCTGGTGCTGTTTATCAGAGCTGTTCATGTCAGCTGTGAGCTGGTGAGGAGCTGTCCAGGGCTGGTTTGTACCAAGGTGATGCATCAGGGGCAGACTGAGAGGAGGTTTTGTGCATCAAGAGCCACAGACTGTATAAATATAAAATGTAAGGGATTTATACTGGAGATCTGGGGAGCTCTTTACCAGGAGATAAATATCAAGACAGATGCATCAGACAGATATGGGAGGTCTCAGGTGATGATTATAGAGGTAGAGGGAATACCTGGAGGTGATGTATAATTGATTGTATAATGTATTATATACATAATTGATTGTATAATATATAATATATAATATATATAATATAATTATATATTATATATTATATATGATAATATTACATGTTATATATATTAGTATATATTATATATTAATATAATTATATGATATAATATTAATATCACAACATATTATGATATAAATATTATACAATACATTATACAATATATATATTATATAATACATATATTATTGTATAGATATACTATATATATTATATATACAATATATATATGTGTATATATACTATATATATTATATATACACGATATATATATTGTATAATGTATGGAGGGACATTCATCAGATGGATTTTGAAGGTCTGAGGGGATCACTAGAGTTGATATATTTGGAGAGATCTGGTGAATTTTATCCCTTGTATTCCTTTTTTTGCAGTCAAACACAAAACACCCCTGTGGCTGTGGCTGTGCTGGTCCTTGCTCATCTTCCTTTTTCCACTGAAGCTGCTGAGATGGGCCTGGAAATCTCAGTCCCATAAAGACCAGATTTTTTGGCAGTTGCAAAATCTTCTCTAGCATATGGATGGACTTTTCTTTATTAAACAGTGTCTGGGAGCTCCCCCATGTTGGAGGTGCTATCTGCTCCCCAGTTCACTCTGTCTGAGCCCGAAAACACATTTACACTCAAGGAAATATCATAACTGACCAGGGAAATGGCAACTGCCAGCATGAAATGGGGACACAGCAAACATCAGGTGCTGTTTCATTCCTTTTTTTCCTTTTTTCTCCTTTCCAGACTTGGATTGTACCAGTAACCCTCAGTGTGATCCCGTGACAAACTTTCACCACCCAGCAGGAGTGGAAAAGGAGGGGACAGGACGAGTTCAGCCTCCATCCTCTGTGGGCAGACCAACAACAACTTCCATTTCTGGACATATATCGGTTCGACCTCTAAAAATCTGATTTATTTTTTGCCCCTTTTCTGGAGATTTTTAACCTTGCTGGGGAAACCCCCTGATCTAGCCCAGACATCAGTCCTGTTTTCATCCCCAGGGGATATTCCCACTTTTATTCCTTCATTCCTCCTATTTTCCCCATCATCCTTCAGAAAAAATTAAGAGTGACTGGCCATCCATGGCTTCATTGACCCTGCCAGAATACCTTTCCTAGTGCAGACCTTCATTTTGCTTAATATTTCACTTTCTTATTTCATTTTCTCTCAATATTCAAATATTTCATTTTTGCTTTCCCAGGTTGTGATCCCTACCCAGTTTTCAGGGCAGTGGGAGGACACTTCCAGGGGCTCCCTGAGCACCCCCTAACAGTAAGGCTGCTTTGCTTTATATTAATTAATCAATTATATATATTAATTGTGCAATTATGTACATTAATTGAGTAGGATGTAGTGAGTCATGACCTTGGTTTTATTTGGTGGCTTTATCTGGAGGAATTTTTGCTGTGATCTGTTGCATTTAAATTGTATCAACCCTTCCCTAAATGCAGTGAGCATTTCAGAGCAGAATTACACTTATTTTTATTTTTTTTTTTAAGAAATCAGTCTGTGCAGGGAGTCTTGTTTTAAAGCTCAAGTGTAGATAACATATTGTTAAGAGCCCTACAAGGCATAAGCAGCCTGGAGGAAAACACAGATATATTTTTGTGAAAATACTCTGAAATATAGGCTGTTGTCGCTGCAAAATTTTGGCACAGCCAGCAGTACGGTGCAGAGAAATGGTCACCAACTAAAAATAAATGAAATGCAGAGCTTAAAATAAGATATACATGAAACCAAGGGTTTCACAGTCCTTTAGTCAACCCCGATCACTAAAATTAGGGCTTGACAGAGTGACAAATGTGCTTGATCCGTGCCAAAACCAGGGCACCCGGCAGGTGACACAGAAAATAAAACCCTGTTGGCTACAGCTTCCCTCCTGCAGGAGCAAAGAGAAACCTTTGGTCACTGAAAATGGGAGTGGCACCTTCAAAATGTGTAAATATTCTACAAAGGTTTATTCCTGAACTGGTTTTAAGTGGGGGCTTCTCAGGGAAAACCCCAAAACCATCATTTGGTCCATGGCCCTGCAGAGCATCTTTTCTTTGAACCTTTTCTTTTGAGTCTTGCCTCCTCTGAAAGTCCCTTTTCATAAGAAGCAGCCAACAGGGGGAGGATTATTTCCCCCAGGCTGCCCTTTAAGCCCTGATTCTTGCTGGTGACCCTGCTTCAGCCAAAAACACAAAAACCACATGATGAAGGAAGTGATGAATTTCCCCTCAGCCTGATTTTACCCCTTTCTGATAAAGGTGCAGGTTGGGTTCGTGTTGGAATTACCTTTCTGGTGAGTTTGGGGGGGATTGGGGTCACCACAATCACCACTTTTCAGGGGGATCCTCTCTGCCTGATGCCCTCTTTCCAATCTGTATTTCAAACTGAGCTGCCCAGTGCTTGCCTAGAAGTGATGCCTTGGAGAGGCTCCCTAGAGCAGAGCCCAGCCAGAGTGAAGAGAATAAAGTGGGGATTTACTGAAGGCCTTTAACAGACACACCCTGGGCAGCCAAAGCCTCCCAGAGGCTGCCCCCAGGCTGGACAATGGGCACCAGTTTTTCAGCCAGATCTGAGTTTGGTTCATTTGCATATCAGGGGTTAATTGTGCAATTCCAGCTCCAGGTAATGAATATTGTTCCCCCAGTTTGCCCCTCCCCAGTTCTCTGCTGTTTGGATTTTTGGGGGCTGAGGCTGTTGGGTGTCCCTGGCTTCCAGGCCCAGAGGAATTGTTTTGTGTGGCCAAGGTGTGAAGACAGCAGCTGACACTTTATGTGGAATTTAGAGTTATGCAGTGTGGGATTTGGAAAATGTAAACACTAAAATCTCAAGGCATCAAAAGGACTCGGTTCCCTGCCATGAATTTTGTGTGCATTGGGTTGTTCTCTTTGGAGGAGCTGGGTCTGTGGAGGACACAAAGTGCAACCTCTCCTGCAAGGAGACCAAACCTGAATTGCTCAGCAAATGGTGCCAACAAGGCCCAGACACCTTCCTGTAAAGGCACAGAAAGATGTGATGGTGGTGGGTGTCCACTTAATTTCCTTCTGGAACGCTGGGCTGGCATTGCTCAAGGTGGTTAATGATAGAAATTACCTGAAGTCTTCTGAGAAACAACTTGGTTTCCCTTGGATTTCTCCACTGTGCGTTGGTCCCCCAGTTTCCAGGCACAAAACTATTTCAGCTTTTCTTCTCCTGAAGCCCCTATGACCACAAGTTGCACCTCTGAGGCCAGGCCATACCTTTTGTCATTGTGAAAAATAAATGGTGAAAAAATTTACCATATCTATCTCACACCATGAACACTTTCCAGTCCTTTTTTGACTCAAATCTCCTCATTGTGTTGAGTTCAGGCCAGGCTGAGGTTTACTCCCATTTGGAGTAAATGGAGAAGACATTCTTATTAAGCATCACTAAAGGAATTTGAAACCCACCTATAAATTTGTAACTCCCTATAAATCACCATGTCATATCTCAAACATCTCTTTTATCATTCAGGCTGGAAATATGGCCAAAAAATTGCTTTCAAATGGGCAAATGAAAGATGTTTCAATAGTGGTGATTAATCAAGGTGCTCTCATCTCAATCTTTAGTGTCTTGGCTCGGGGTTTGGATAGGGACAACTCTCTCTGGATGCCAGAGAGCCTGACATGCCTCAAGGAAAACCTTATTTTTGTTTTCTGGCCAGCAGAGTCAGAAAATTCCCTATTTTTCACAGGGAATTTTACATTTTACATAGAAATTCAGGAGGAAGGTAAGATGGGGAGAAGCCAAAGAGTTGCAAGAGAGGGATGTGAAGTAAAAACTGCGAGTCAAGAACTCTGATTTATGGGGCTCCAGAGGGAGTTTTTCCCCCTCCCAAGGGGAAAATTTCCAGGCATGATAGCAGGATATAGCAAGAAATGAGGCAGATTTAAGGGAGGATTTTATTTGGTGTGCTGTGGAATTGCTGTTTTCCTGATTTTCCCTGTCAGGGAAGTGGGAAGTCTTTGCATGAACTCTCACCTCCCCTGTGTTTCTGCAGTTGGGTTCACTCTGCTTGTTTTTAGCAAGTCCAAAAAAGAAAAAGCTGGTGTCTGTCTGTGTTTACCTGGTGATACTCATGGAGGTTTTGGGAGATTTGCATAAAACCTGTGAGATTTGAGTTGCAGAACAAACACCCCAGGAAGGCATTAAATTGAAATAGTCTCTAAAAATATGGAAAATTTCAGTATTGATTATGGGGTGTTTATGGACTGCAGCAACATTTACAAAAAGTCCTTGGTTTGTGGTGGGATCTGTGCCAGAATTGTTGGCAGTGTTGTGGGTCTTGCACTGGCATTGGTCTGTTTTGCATTTTGTGATATTTGCAGAGGCAGAGAAATTGGTTGTTGCTATTTAATAATGGTTTTTCCCAATTTAGTGCCCCCTCCCCAGGTCTCCAAAACTTCCTGCAGCTCATCCTGCCCCTCCTAGAGAAAAGAGAAAAATAGAGAAAATTTTAGAATAGGAAAACGAGCTTGTGACAGCAATGCAAATAACAAAAGTGTGCAGAAGAGAGGATGGAGCTTTACCCAACCACAGCCATGCCACCCAACAGCTCCCTCTGCTCAGGACCAGCATGACCCCACTGCTCTGTCTGCTGTGCTTGCTCCACAGGAATGAATTCCCTTCTCAGATGAGAGAAATTCCCTTTCCCCTGCTCCTGGCAATGACATGGTTTGGTATCAAATCATATTAGGGTCTGGTGAAGTTCCTCCTCCCAGCTATTGTAAAAATTCACTCTGTCCTGGTTGAAGCCAGGGCTTTGGTGTCCCTGCAGGTGTCAGTTTGGAATGGAAAAACTTCAACAATGGTTTCATTTTTGCAGAGCAAGAGAGTTTTTGAGTGTGTTTTTTCTCAGCTACCCATCCTCAAGCAACAGCACTGATGTCACCTTTGGTCTTGGGACAGAAGTTTTGTGGAATTCACAAATATTACGGTTTCCCACGGCCTTGTTCACCTTCACTTAAACCTCTTCTTCCAGCTCATGTCTCCAAAACTCAATCACATTTTTTCCATCTCCTTTTTTGTCCTGTGAGCAGCTCTTTTTAACCTGGCAGGGGCCTTGGGGATGGAGCCTTCAATGCCATCTGTCACAGCATCCTCTGCACAAAATGTCCACAGCCTGTCACTGGTGGGGGCCTGCAGGGCTCCCTCCTCCACCCCCTGCACCTCAACATCTTCAGAAATGACTGAGACACAGAACTGGAAGGGATATTAAATATTAATCAAGTTTGCAGACAATACAGAACTGATCTGTTGAGTCCCCTGAAGGCAGGGAGGCCCTGCAGAGACCTTGACAAATTTGAGCACTGGGCCATCACCATGGAGCTGAAGAAGGGAAAGTGTTGGATTCTGCACCTGGAGGTTCAGGCAGACAAAGGAAGGAGATGCTGGAGAGCAGCTCTGCAGAGAGGGAGCTGGTCCTGGTCAATGAAAGGTTGAATTTGAGTCAGCAGTGAGGAATTTATGATTTTTTTAAATGATATTTATGATAATTCAGGAGTTGAATTTGAGGCTGCCAGGTGCACGTCCTTGTCCTGGGGGGGTTCAGGCCCAGCATCAGCAGCTGGGTGAGGGAAGGGATTGTCCCAGGTGGCCTCAGCTGGAGTCCTGTGGGCAGATTTGGGCACAAAATTAATATTGGACCATTAGAGAGCATCCTAAGGAAGGCAACAAAAATGGTGAAGGGTCTTGAGGGGAAGCTCAAGGAGGAGCAGCTGAGGGTGCTTGGTCTTGGAGGAGGTTGAGAGGAGTCTACAACTTCCTTGTGAGAGGAAGAGGAGGGGCAAACACTGATCCCTGCTCTGCAGTGCCCAGAGACAAGACCCAAAGGAATGGCCTGAAGTTTTTTCAGAGGAGGCTTAGGTTGGATTTTAGAGAAAGGTTCTTCACCCAGAGGGTGCTTGGGCACAGGAATGGGCTCCCAGGGCACTGGGCATGGCCCCAAGGCTAGCAGAGCTCAAGAAGAAGGTGGACAATACTCTGAGGCACGTGGTGTGACTCTTGGGGATGCTGGGCTCCATCATCCCTGGGGATTCTTTCCAGCTCAGACTATTCCGTGGTTCTCCTCATTGCCAGTGGGGGTTTGAGATTTGGTGTTGGCAGGGTGGAAATGTGGGTGCTCTGTGATTTCTGACTCATGGAATTAGCAAGTTGTGATGGAGAATGAAGAGCACAAGGCGAGGTTTGAAAGCATAGGACAGGACTTTAGACTTTGGACATAAATTGTTCAGAGCTAATTGCTCTCAGAGAACTGTTAAAGC